ACTGAAGGTTCTGTGTTCCAAATTTGTGTAACCAGATGGGTTGAAGACAAAAAGGTAGCAGAAAGATTAGTTAGTGTTTGATAATTTGGCTATCTATTATAAAAATAGTTTATTATTGGGAGACTGCCTAAAAGTAAACGACCATGTCAATAAGGATGTGGTTACTGACTATATATCAACAAATGGTATTGTTGGGTGGCATCTTGTGTATGGTTTCATGCTTACCAACAACCTTAACCCTTAGATTATATCAGAAATGAAAGTTGCTTTCAAATCCGCATATCAAAAAAAACGAGTTTGTCTAAAGTGTGAACAAGCCAAAGAGGAAAACAATATATATTTGGTCAGTTTAGCAAATCTTTAAAAAGGAAAAGTGAGGAGAAAAGAAAAGACATTGCTAGGTTGCAAAAAGCATTATTGATATTGGAGGAAAAGAGAGAGAAACTGAATTAACAGTTGTTGCTTTTGGAAGATTTGTTTGTTTTTATAAAATATTATTTATTTTGATATTTATGCAAAATAATATAAAAATACATAAATATATAATATAAAATAAAAGGCTAATAAAAACTTTAATTATATTTTCAATGAAAGATTTTGCTTTAAAGTTCACATATGATAAAGCATATCTTTTTTATTTATTTTCTTTAGAAAGGTTATGTCAAAAGTAATTTGAAAACTTGTCAGGGTTTATTATATCCATTATGATTTTTTTATTGCAATTTTAAACATGTGTAACCAGAAAATTGCTTTGAACAATGACCTTTCTAAAAAGATTAAGCACTTTAGTTTTTTGTTTTTGTTTACTCGATTTTAGTTTATTGGTTCCTAGACAGTTTCTGTTTCTAGGCCCTGTCTCAGCTTGTTTAAACAACATTTGTTTAAACCTCTGCATTTTCAGTTGATGATGTTTTTAATTAAAAAAACTTGATCATGCACAATTTAATAAGTTAGTCTGGCTATCAGACTAATATTTTTTAATGTTTCTAAGCTATGTTGAAGATATTGTTGAATTAGCAAGGTTACAGTTAAAAGTAGTGATGATAAATGACTTGCCTAAAGTAGTCTCTGTTATAGACCAACTACTGTATAAGATGTTGAAAGATATTTACATATATATTTCAGTTAATTTTAGTGTTAGTGAAAAATGGTTTACAAAATATGAAGATCATCTAAAACTTCTTTGTTTTTTTTCTTGTTTTCTCGTTTTTCTTGTATTCATTCATAGTCATCCTTAATAATAAGATCCATACTAACATGTATAATATATTATATATATAATATATGTGGATTATATATATATAACATGCATAAACCACACTAATATCTAACTTAACTAATAGCTAAGTTATATAAGTTTCATCTTTCATAGCATGTACAATTTTCCATTACAGTAGATAGTAATTTTAAACATTTATAAAAACTATTGCAATTGTTGAAAATGGTCAGGTAAATTTTTCAAAAAAGTGAGTTTATATGAAAAAAGGAATTTTATATAAATATTTGGCTAACCCTGTAATATTCGATCAGGTTTTGGGCCTCATTTTGCGACCATTTAACAAATTTTTAACTTTTATATTCAAACTATTCTATTTAGTTTTTATGTTTATATTTTAAAATTATGTCAGTTTGACCAGAGTCTCTTTGAAATCATTTGTTTTAATACATTTATTAACTAGTAGTTAGATATACTTTTATTTTGTATATGTTTTATGTTGTAAATGTTTTATGTTGTATATGTTAGAATTTGTGTATAATTTGTAGTTTTATGGTGTCTGTTCTTTTTATACATAAATTTTATTTGATTAACAATGCTTATTAATCTTATAACAACAATGCTTATTAATCTTATAACAACAATGCTTAGTATAAAGTTGTCTGTTTGAAAAGGGGGAAAACGATGTTAAGTTGTTTACTTGATTTTATATAAAAAAATTTTGTTAAGAAAATACTTTTCTTAAGCAGTGTTTAAGTGTGGTTTGCATCTTGCTTTATTTAATAATGATCCAACTTTAAATATTAGTTTATGTCACTCTGATTAAATTATAATGCAGTTTTGTACATACAGTAAATAAAAAATGTTAAAATAGAGAACACATGTAAAAACTTGGATAAAGATTAAAGATTTTAAATGGAGACTTGTTAAAAGCATCAAATAGGGTTTCTTTGATTTATTGTTTCTAATATTTCAAATACTGTTTGTAATTAATATTTACAATAGAAATTTTGTAAATTCATTGTTATATAAGTAGAGTTTAATTTATAACTATTATTAACCTTTGGTTAAATTAAAAACATTTTTGTTTATATCCTCAATTAAAGAACCAATTTCTTATGTTATAATATAATAAAGTTTTAAAAAAGAAAGAATATAATTTTAAGTATAAATTTACTCTAACCCAAGTTCAGCTTAATAACCAAAAAAAAGTTTAACAAGAGATTTATTCTTTAAAATAAGATCAATAAAAGTTGTGTTAAAAATAATATAAATAAGCAGTTATTAGTTGGGAAGTCAAATAATGTTTTTGGAAAAATAATATAAATAAGCAGTTATTAGTTGGGAAGTCAAATAATGTTTTTGGAAAAATAATATAAATAAGCAGTTATTAGTTGGGAAGTCAAATAATGTTTTTGGAAAAATAATATAAATAAGCAGTTATTAGTTGGGAAGTCAAATAATGTTTTAGGAAAAATAATACAAATAAGCAGTTATTAGTTGGGAAGTCAAATAATGTTTTTGGAAAAATAATATAAATAAGCAGTTATTAGTTAGGAAGTCAAATAATGTTTTTGGAAAAATAATATAAATAAGCAGTTATTAGTTGGGAAGTCAAATAATGTTTTTGGAAAAATAATATAAATAAGCAGTTATTAGTTGGGAAGTCAAATAATGTTTTTGGAAAAATAATATAAATAAGCAGTTATTAGTCGGGAAGTCAAATAATGTTTTTGGAGAAATTGGCAAGAAGAAGTGCTAAATACTTCATAACATTTATTGGTGAAAGGTTGGTGTGCAGCAGATAAAAAACTTTTGACAAGTGAGGCTGTTGACAAGGATGCTGTCAAGGACTTTATGGCATGTGGGTATAATCAGGCTTTTTTACAATGTATTTCAATTTAATAAATGCAGAAAAACATGCTGGGCAATTATTTTTATGTTAATTTACCTAAATTTGCCACGACTAAAAGTTTTTTCTGTTTTGCCTGTCAAAGATTAAGCTCACAAAGTCCAATTTCAACATTATTAACAATTGGTGATTATTAACAACAATAATGATCACTGCTGACTATATGCTATTGTTAACAAACAGTAGTTTAAACTGCTTGGTTATTGAAGATTAACAGTATATTTATTATCTTAATCTATGTAAAATTTTACTTTACCTAAAGAAGTTTTTTTTTGGTATTTTTCAATATAAAAGTTCTCTGAAAATTACTAGATCATACTTTAATTGCTACAGTTTTATTTTTTCCTGTTAGTAAATGCACCAAAAACAAAAAGGGTTTTTATTTGTAATTGTCTTTATATGGTGTATTTAATTATTAAAATAATTTTACAAATAGTTACACAAGGTGAATAAAAAATTTTAGATGGAAAACAAAACTTAATTTTAAAAATCTTGTTTTGCAAATGCAAAAAAATGCTAAGTATTGTATAAAATGATCAAATTTAGCGCTAATATTATTAAGAGTCACAAAGGTAACAATATTTGTTTAAAATTTTTTTGATTTTCAACTCTTTTGTATTTCTTTTTCTTCCAAATCAGTGAAATTTTAAAATACTATAACTTTAGTCACTTGTGTATTATGCAACAATACGTCATTAAATGATATAAACAATTAGCAGAAATGTTGTTAAACATTTATTGAATTACAAAAAAAACATTAATTTAATTGCAACGCACTGAAATTATTTGTCTGCATATAAAATTTTCAAAAACGTACATAATAAAACTTTTAATAAGCAAAAAAAAAAATCAAATTCTAGTTTGTTTATTTTTTATTATTTTACTTTTAGAATTTAATTTAATGAAATAGTTTTCTGTAAAATTAAAAAAAAAATTTAAAAACTATTAATGCCTAAGATGAGTGTTCTTAAGTGACTGAATTAATTTTACAGTGTGTCTTTGTGAATTCATAACAACTACTTGTAGAATGATATGAACAAAATAATGGTAGACATTTTATATAAATTATATAAATTTTATGCATTATATAAATCCAGTAGAAATTATTAAGATAATATATTTTCTCAAAAAAATATTTTATATATGTGGTTGTACCCCCCATACCATATATATACATATATATATATATATATATATATATATATATATATATATATATATATATATATATATATATATATATATATATATATATATATATGACATCATACTGAAATAGCCGGCTGCTGGGGGCTTCAGTACATACATCGACTGACAAATAGCCTGACTCGCAGTGGAGTGCTGCTACATCGACTGAGGGTTTGGGATAGGGAAGCAATCGTTTTATTCATCATTCTTCGTTTTTATCTTCTACATTTATATATATATATATATATATATATATATATATATATACATATATATACATATATATATATATATATATATATATATATATATATATATATATATATATATATATATATATATATATATATATATATATTATATATATATATATATATATATATATATATATATATATATATATATATATATATATATATATATATATATATATATATATATATATATATATATATATATATATATATATATATATATATATATGTATATATATATATATATATGTAGATATATTATAATTTATACATACATATAGCTTATAATTTATATATATATATATATATATAAATATTAATTTATATATAGTATAATATTTAACATTTTAAACTTTAAAGATTTAAAAATTTGTGTATTTATTTTGATTTAATGAATCTTTGAAAAAAAAAATTTCTTTTGTTATATTAGAGTTTAACAAACTTGGCCACATCAAAAAATGGTAAAAATTCTATAGGACTTCAATGGATGTCTTCATTGCTTTTGGATCGCTCAATTGAGGTTCGTTGGGGTGGTTGGCTTCTTACAACAGAACTTTTAAATGAAAACTGTAAAATTATAGTCAGTGAGTTTCAAAATCAACCTGGTGGTATATGGGCTGCTACTATTGAGGGCATTTTGAATTCAGAAGAAGCTTTTGTTGTTAGAGCACAGGTATGTATATATTTTTTTAAGCAAATATATATATTTAGGCAGCTACCTTTTTTTTTTTTTTTAATATCTTGGCTTCCAACAAGGCTGCAAGCAACCACTAATTAGAGTTGGAAGTTACTGGAAGAGAAAAGATGAAGATTGTAGAGCAAGATAACGATTGACAGGCAACTTAAAAAATTGCAAATTATATGAATCAAGAAAGCAAGATGAAGTAAACAAATTGCAAAGAATTGATGTTCAAGGAAAAAAACTAGAGGAATAAAGGTTTTTGGAGCATTTAGGAACAGTCACAGAAAAATGATGAAGCTTAGTTGAATGACGAGTAACAAAAGAATGAATTTTAGTAGATGGCACAAGAGGCTACCTCTTTAGAGTTGTGCTCATTATAGTATTTGTAGAAAAGAGAAAGAGAAGCAACATTATGACAATGTGATAATAGTTTGATGGTTGGCAGGTCCAACTATGTTTACAATGCGTTTCACACATGTCTAAAAGAGAAAGGTCATCATTAGGAGATCTGCCCCAGATATGGCAACAGTATTCCATACTAGGCCGGATTTGAGATTTATAGAGATAGAGAATAGAATCCGGCGTAAGAAAATGTTGAGCTCAATAAAGAGATGCAACCTTAGCAGATATCTACCTGAATAAAAGTTGTTCTCTAATTAATAATCAGGTTTGCATCTTCCAGACAAGATTATCTAACATCTTATCTAACATCTTAAAAGTTGATCAAATAATTTTATTACAAATTAAAAAAAAACAACCTCTAAGAGAGGTATAGTGATCTAAAAAGGTAAAAGTGTTTAAGAAGGCTTGATACATTTTCATTTCCTTATCATTAATTTGTTTTTTCTTATACAAAGCTATGACTACTTTGTCTCTAAGTTTAAAAATATTTAAGGTTTGATTTTTTTATTTATTTGTAAATCATTAGTTTTGAAGTTCTTTTAAAAAAATTATTTAGGCTTGTGCATTGTTGTGCCTGTTATTCAAACAACTATCTATTGTAAGTGAGGATGATTGCTTATGGGACAGTATTGTGGTCCAAGATACAATCACAAAGGTATTTTTTATCACATTCTTATAAAGTGATTGTCCAGTTTAATATTTATTTATAATATATTTATTATTTAAACATAAATTATCCAATAAATATTTAATTTGTTACATATTAATTTATGCTCAGAAGAAAAAAATATTGAAATATCAAAGTAGGATCTATTTTAACTTTTTTTTTAATGACCTTAAGAAGAAAAAAAAGAAAAAAAAAAGAATCTTGTTCTTTAGTAGATTAGATGCAAAACCAAAAAGTTTATAAGTTATGTTAATATTTTTAATTTTTAAGTTATTCTTAGTATCCATATTTTTTTAGTATTTTTTGATTTTCTCACTTTTTTCATTAACTTTAGTTTAAGAAAACAGTGAGAATTTCAAAAAATACCTAAAATTTTTTTTTGAATTAGTATTTTTCTTTTAGAAAAAGATCACTGGATCTGCTGCATTCTTGTTATTGTTTGATCATTTTAATTTATACAATAAGATATCCAAAATGTTTGCTAATGACTTTTTATATGTATCATGCGATGGAGTTGTAGATGTATCTACATCTATTACACAAAATGATACTTTGCAAACTTTAGACAGTAAATATTCAGAAAATTTAGAAGTTGTAGGATATTCTAGTTCTCAGTCAGGTTCCAATGAATGTTTATCAAATAAATCCAATGAATGTTTATTGAATAAATTTTTTGATGGCTGTAATTCTAAAGTTGTAAACAAATCTTCAGAAACGTAAGTATTAGAATAATTTAATTATTGATGTTAAATACATATTAATGTTTATATATTATGTTTGATACTAAATATTTCATTTATTTATATTAAATACAATTTATCTATTACATCAATCTCAATAAAATAATAAAAAATAAAAAAATCATAATAAATGTATTAGACTATTATAATTTGTAGATGTCTAAAAGGAGAACTTGGTACACTGAAATAAAGTATACATTTTTGAAATTTTAAATTATATTTTTATCTTTATAAAAAATACGTAGCTGAAATATGACAAATTTTAAGAAACATGATAAGGCTTGAGTAGTTTTATCTGATTCATAAGAAAATTTCTATTATATAGGACATATTTAAGGGGTGCCAGCACATGTATTATTTAAATGTTTTTGGAACATTTTAAGCATTAGTTTCACAATTGTAGTAAAATACAAAAACACTTCACAAATCAGGGTTAAATAAAAAAAGAAGAAATTATTATCCTTTAATTTTTACTAATAACGGGTTTTCACTTGAAATCCGGACTGACTTTAAAGGGTCATAACTCCCTTATTTTTTATCAACTTAAAAAAATAAAATATGATTTAAAATCAGCTCTATAATATGATATTTTATTTATTTTCAATTAAATTTTTTCTTCTAAATTTTCTGCTTGCCAATTATTCTTGTAAACTAAACCTTTTATTATTGACCAAAAATCCTCAATAGGTCTTGCTTCTGGTACATTTGCAGGGTTATCTTCTTTTGGTACAAATCTGACGTTTTGTCCATTTAAATAAGCTTGAACAGATTTAGCATAATGAGACGTCGCCAGATCTGGCCAAAATACGAATTGACTGTCTTGATGATGCTCTTTAATAAAAGGAATAAGACGTTTCTTAATACAATCTTCTAAGTAGATTTTTGATTGATTGCAAGACCACTTTGACGGATTAGAATTTTTGACATTCCTTTTACAGAAAAGGCTACCCAGACCAGGAGCTTGGGTTCATACTTTTGCTTTGTATAATATTTGACACTAGATGGGCAGAGGTTTATGTCACTTGTGTAGAAGTTATCGTTTCCTTTGATTGATGAATGAGAAAGAGTAAAATAAGATTCATCATCAATGATCCAATCAAATTTGCTAAAAGCTCGATATAATCTACCACACTTTGTTTTTGCCATCAGTTTTTGATCATCAGTTTTTGATCATCAGTTCGATGTGGAATCTTTTTCTTCTTTCTTTTCTTGATCTTTGATTTTGTCTGAATAATTTTATGGGCATAAGAAGCTGATATTCTAAATTTTCTACCTGCTTTCCTATAAGAAACGCCATCATGATGATCAAACATTGATTTTAACGCTTGTACTTTTTTTTGGGTCATTTTTAGAGCTTTTTTTCCTGAACCAGGACGTCTAAGATATCCAGAATCGTCATCAGCACGTTTAATTATATCATAGATGGTCGATCTGGCAATTTTTTCTTTTTCAAAATGATCTACGGTGTACTTTTTGCCTTTTTCTTTATTCTCAATATAGAAGTTGTACACGTTTTCGAGTGTCGTCTTGTTTAGGTTTCATTTTCAATTTAAATAATCATTCAATCTAAATATAAATGTAGCATATTAAAGCTAAATTTAAACGCTTTAAAATAATGTATCACATGGTACAATTGCAATACATTATGTCAGATTTATATTGACTTAAAGTCAGTCCGGATTTCAAGTGAACACCCATTATTATCCAAAGTTAGTTACAATACCTAGAAACTAAAGCTGTGTTGCCTTGTTCTCAGTTTAGATAGTGTGTTGAATAGTTCTATCTTCAATACTGAATTTAAAAAATCTGCATTTATGTTGCTAAGGGATGATAAGGAAATATGTTGACAAAAAAAATATTGTTTGCGATTTATTTATTTTGACACTCACTCATGATCCCCTTTATAAAATGAAAACATATGAAATATCTGATTTTAATTAATATGAATGGTTCGTCAGTTAACTTTCTAGCAAAGTTAAAAATATTTAATTTCACAAGTAGAGAATTACAATGATCTATGCTAGGACCCCTATTTTTTTTATTTATTAATGATTTGCCTGAATTTCTTATCTCATCAAAGATGATACTTTATAGAGGTGGTTGGGTCATATACTATAGTTGTAAACAACTCAACACAAGAGTGTCTAATTTCGGATAATACTATAGCAAAGTATGCTGTTTGAATCTGCAAAAAAATGTAATGAGTGTACTTGGTATAGAATATAAGCAGGAAATGTTTAACTATGTTAGTTGGTTGCAAATTAAACTCAACGCTATCATTAATTAATGACATCATTAATAAATGATAACTCTATCATTAATAAATGATAGCATTAATAAATCATTATGAGGATAGTTATAGAAAAGTAAATAAAGATCTTGTAATCTGACAAAGCAGCTATCCAGATTTTTCAGCAAATAATAGTTCCAGTGATAACATAAAATACCAATAACTAAACAAAGTTCTATAGGCCATAAAGCTAACTAAGTAATTGGTAGCCATCATAAAATCAGGAAAGTTGAGAATAAAAAAAAGAACTTATGCTTGTTTTAAAAAAATGATGAACTTAAGAATCTAACAAATTATTTTTAATGTGATATTTTACCATATAAGACATTTAGGAGTCACATATATGGTTTTGGTTTTATGGAGTCACATAACAGTTGGGCTGAAAAGTTTGTATCGTTTCTAAGAAATTGCGCCACTAGAATTAAATTCATACCATTTTTAGTTAGTACCAAACTTGAAAAGATACGTGTAAAAATTTGACAGCTGTCAGATTATTAGTTTGTGATATATTGCTCTAGTAGTGACGCTACTTTTGTTATTGTGAAAAAAATGGAAAAAAAAGAATTTCGTGTGTTGATGAAACATTACTTTTTAATGAAAAAAAGTGCTGCCGATACCAAAAAATGGCTTGATGAGTGTTATACAGACTCTGCACCAGGCGAAGCAACAATTCGTAAGTGGTTTGCAAAATTCCGTACTGGTCATATGAGCACCGAAGACGATGAACGCAGTGGACGCCCAAAAGAGGCTGTTACCGATGAAAATGTGAAAAAAATCCACAAAATAATTTTGAATGATCGTAAAGTGAAGTTGTTGGAGATAGCTGACACTTTAAAGATATCAAAGGAACGCGTTGGACATATTATTCATGAATATTTGGATATGAGAAAGCTTTGTGCAAAATGGGTGCCGCGTGAACTCACAATCGATCAAAAGCAACAACGAATTGATGATTCTGAGCAGTGTTTGGAGCTGTTACATCGAAATAGAACCGATTTTTTTTGTCAATACATAACAATGAATGAAACATGGCTCCATCACCACACTCCGGAGTCCAATCGACAGTCAGCTGAGTGGACTGCACGCGATGAACCGACTCCAAAGCGTGGAAAGACTCAACAATCGGCTGGGAAGGTTATGGCCTCTGTTTTTTGGGATACGCATGATATAATTTTCATTGATTACCTTGAGAAGGGAAAAACCATCAATAGTGACTATTACATTGCGTTATTGGAGCGTTTGACGGATGAAATTGCAAAAAAACGACCTCATTTGAAGAAGAAAAAAGTTCTGTTTCATCAAGACAACGCACCGTGTCACAATTCAATGAATACGATGCTTAAATTGAACGAATTGGGCTTTGAATTGCTTCCTCATCCACCGTATTCTCCAGATTTAGCCCCCAGTGACTTTTTCTTGTTCTCAGATCTCAAGAGAGTGCTCGCTGGTAAAAAATTTAAGAGCAATGAAGAGGTGATCGCTGAAACTGAAGCCTATTTTGAAGCAAAGGACAAATCGTACTACAAAAATGGTATCGAAAAGTTGGAAGATTGCTATAATCGCTGTATCGCCTCTGATGGAAACTATGTTGAATAATAAAACCGAATTTTGAAAAAAAAATGTGTTTTTCTATTAAACGATACGAACTTTTCAGCCCAACTGTTATGTGGTAGTGGTTTCATGGAGTCACATATGTGGTAGTGGTTTCATGGAGTCACATATGTGGTACTGGTTTCATGGAGTCACATGTGGTAGTGGTTTCATGGAGTCACATATGTGGTAGTGGTTTTGTGGCAGAGCACTTTACTATATATTAAATTGTACAGATCATATTCATGATTTATAGGGAGTATTCAAAGAAGATATTCAAATCTTTGCTTATGAAGAAATCAGTTATTGATGTTACTTCTGGTTTAGTGTTGTTATCATCTGAAGATATCATAAATAAAATGATCGATCAAAATGTTTTGGTGGCTGTTTTTAGGTAAAGGTTTAATAACTCAAAAAGTTTTTTTTCAATCAGTGAATAAACTATATCAACTCAAAGTTTGTTTAAAGTAAATTTTATTAATTCAAATTAATATATTTTTAATAAATAAAATTTATAATAATTTTAAAAGTTAATTTTAATTTATAATTTAAATTTAATTAATGAAATTCAATATAATTTAATATAATTAATATAATAATTTAATATAATATAAAAACTTAATAAAATATAATAAAATAATGTAATTTAAATTTTAAATTAATATTTAGTTTAAAGTTATAAAATTTTGATAAATAAAGTTTATAAATATTTTATCGATTTTGGTTATTAATTTTTTTTTAATTTTTATTTTTTAGTAATTGGAATCCCATAGAATTTATTACTGAATCTAAATTTTGTCAAGAACCCATACCTAAAAATGTAGCAAAAAATTTAGTGCATCATTTAAAGATTGCTTTGGCTAATGCAGCTCTTGTTAATGCTCTGCTATCGTGTAACTTTTTAAAAACAAAAAATAGTCTATTTAAAAAAATATTGGTGGATTTCAGAACAGTTGACAAATTTTTTTTGCTTTTTTCATTGTCTTATCGTCAGATTTGGGGTAATGGAAATTAAAATAAGTTATTTTTTAATTTAAATTTTATTATATATATTAGAGTGCCACTAAAAACAACTTTTTTTGAAATAGTTTGCTCCCACCTCCTAAATGTGTTTTATGTAATAAATTAACACTAAATTAAAAAAATTTTTAAATAAAAAATATTTTAGGGGTCGCTCAACACCCTTAAACATCAAACGGGTCCCTAATATTTTGAAAAAAAAAGTTCTTCAAAAGTATATCATGTTGGGTCTCAAAAGAAGTGAAAATTTCAAAAATAATAAAAATAATTTATGGAAAAACAAACTAAAAAGGTTTATTTAAAAAAAAACTTTAAAAATATGTACTTTTAATTTTTTGTCAAAAAATTATAGTTTTTAGGCCATAAAATTTAAACTAGTATTATTTATATAAAATAATTATTATTTTTAAAATTTTTATAAAATTTAATTTCTATTGAGACCCAACATGATATACTTTTAAAGAACTTTTTTTTTCAAAATATTAGGGACTCGTTTGATGTTTAAGGGTTTTGAGCAACCCCTAAAAATTTTTATTATTTAAAAAATTTTTTTAATTTAGTGTTAACTTATTACATAGAACACATTTAGGGGGTGGCAGCGAACAATTTCAAAAAAAGTTGTTTTTAGTGGCACTCTAATATATATATATATATATATATATATATATATATATATATATATATATATATATATATATATATATATATATATATATATATACAGGGCCTAAAAATGGGTGGCGGTACCCTCTCGTTTCGGTGGACTTTGGTCGAAAATCAGCGTTTCTTTTTGCGAAAAAAACATTTGCCGTAAAAACTTGTTAAAAAAAGGTCCTCAATTTTTAATTTGGGCGGCGCTTAGATCGGCACCCAAATACGGTTCATGCTGTCGAAAACAGTCTAGAATAGCCCCTGATATATATATATATATATATATATATATATATATATATATATATACATATATATATATATATATATATATATATATATATATATATATATATATATATATATATATATATATTTATTTATTTATTTATTTACATTACTTATGTTGAATCAATAAAACTAAGAATTGGTTTGTTTCAGAGTTAGGGGATATTTACATGACTGTATGGCATGATGTTTGTATAACACTTGGATATTTGTTGGTCAGATTTAAAGAAATATTATCTTCATTGTATCTAGCTGAAAATCTTCAATCACTTTGTGGTTATTTTTAAGTTCTTTTTGTTTTATAGTTGTTTAATTTTTTATATTTTTGTTTACCAATTGATTTTCTTTATAGTTGGAAATATTGATTTTAGGAGCTTTTCTATTTTTGGTTGGCATGAAGACTAAGACAAAATTAAACAAAAAATGTACAGACAATTTAATGAAGCTTTTAGTGATCATTTTTCAACTAAATGAAGAAAGTTTAGTTTTTCTAGACATCAAACCAATAATGATTGAATTAGTTGATATGGTCAATGTTATACAGATTTTTACTTTGCCAAGCCAAAACTTATGTATTGGGGAATATTTATGCTGTATTTTGTTACATCTCTATAATCGTTCATTGTGCAGTTTTCAACATTTGGTTAAAACAGCTTTAAGCTCTTTGTTTAATGTCAGCAAAAAAGCAAAGGTACAAGCCCTTAATGAAGGTTTTGCAGAGATTTTTATTGAAGAAATTAAGGATGTACTCATAAAGATAAATATTTGTTCAATACGAGATGAACAAAAAGTTGATGAAAAAAAAGTAAAATATTTTTTTTTTGTTTATTCAATATTCACATATTTGCTGTTTGTTAATATTATTATTCTCATAAAGTTTTCAGCTTTAAATGTATTCAATATAAGTATTGAATATATATATATATATATATATATATATATATATATATATATACTGAAACTATTATCAATAAATTTATTAATAAATTAAAAAAAAAAGATGCAAAAAAAGTTGTGGCCTCTCTGAAAAATTTTTTAAAAAACTAAAAAAAAATTTTTTTGTTAGATAATATTTTAATGAAAAAAAAACTTGGAAAAACCAAAAAATGTTATTGTTGGAAGTGATGATGTTTAAAAATATATACATAAAAATAAAAAAAAACCCAAGAAGTAAAGTTTTTTTATTATTTTATTAGTTATTGTTCTAATTTTAATTTCTGTTCAATATGTAATGTTGAGTTTATCTTTTATCAACAGGTATGCTTAACAATATATATTTTTAAGCATATTTGTTGTTTCTGTTCAATATATATTGTTAAGCATATCTGTTGTTTCTGTTCAATATATATTTTTAAGCATATCTGTTGTTTCTGTTCAATATATATTGTTAAGCATACCTGTTGTTTCTGTTCAATATATATTGTTAAGCATATCTGTTGTTTCTGTTCAATATATATTGTTAAGCATATCTGTTGTTTCTGTTCAATATATATTGTTAAGCATATCTGTTGTTTCTGTTCAATATATATTGTTAAGCATATCTGTTGTTTCTGTTCAATATATATTGTTAAGCATACCTGTTGTTTCTGTTCAATATATATTGTTAAGCATATGTTGTTTCTGTTGTTTCTGTCCAATGTTAAACTTGAGCTTTAAATGTTGCATAAAATTAAAGTTTAAAACTTTATGACTTTGATGTGTTTTTTTTAATAAGAAGATAATAAACAATAAAAGTATATAATATACATTTACATTTTTTTTATCAATTTTAGTATTTAAAATTTTGAATTTTCTTAGGTAGATTTGTTTAATCAGCTTGTTGATTGCTTACATATTGTACGCAACTTTGCAGTTCACGCACACAATGTAAAAGTAAGTGTAAAATATCTTTAAAAAAAAATTTTTTTTGAATAATTTTATAGAGTAAAAGCAGATCAAATGAAATAGTTAAGAATTTTAATTCTTTTTTTTTTTTTTTTATTTACAGGAAAAAGATTTTTAATTATTTTTTTTTTTACAAGTTGAAGAAAATTTTGCGTCATCATGTTTCAATCTTTCAAATATTTCATATTTATTGAGACACCCTCCTTTACATCTTGGCAAGTCTACATTTTTTTTGAGTGTGTCAACATGTTGAATGCGAAACATTTGCTGCAAAGCAACTGGGTCGATTGCAATCATTTTTTAACTTTTTTTGGATTTCCTTTTGAATAGCCAGAGTTGTGATAAAGGTTGGTTGCAGGCAAATTGACTGTGGAGTTGATTTTAGAGCTGGTGCTATACAATGTATATTCATGGTAGATGTTGGTTGTGTAGATTCAGAAGGCAGTGTCTGAGCACTGCTATCTACAAAATGAATCTCTGCCAGTGCCAGCTCCACTAGCTACACCATGTAGTTAGTGGTACTATTTGTGGTGGTGCTAGCATGAATATGGCAGTTGAGATGACAAAAACTCAGGTTGAGATGAAAGTGTTTCAAATTTATTAACAATATATAATTTAGATTCATCAACTTTCTTAATGTCCAGCACAAACAAACCAGTGTTTATTTTATTCCACTATTTCATTTTACCCGCTTTTACTCCAAATCTTTATTTTTTTATCATTTCAATAAACATTGACATTGTATTTTTTATCATTTTCATAAAGATTGACATTGTATTTTTTATCTTTATAATATGACAGTGATGTTAACAAGGATTTTTCAAAAGCATAGGATTAGGATGATCTTGTGGTAGAGTTCATATATTTTTCCAATTTTTTAAATAAATGAAATGAAATTTCTACGGTTTGTGTTAATATACTCTTTGTATAAGTTTAAAAAGTTCAAAACTTAAAAAAAAAACTTTAAAAGTTGAAAACTTTAAAAAACTTTTTAACATTTAAGCATTTTTTTTTTAATAATTTTTTTAATTATTATAACTGTAGAGCAAAGTTATTGAAAAATCTTTGTAACATGACCAATACATTGACTGTTTATTTTGAGCATTGTACATTACACATTTTTGAGCATTTGACAGCATTTTAGTATTTATATATTAGTATTAGTAATCAAGTATTACATGAGAAAGTTGGGCCAGGTATGCAACCTATGCTCTCATATTACATGAGAAAGTGGGGCCAGGTATGCAACCTACACTCTCATATTTTCTTCATACTTTGTCAAAACAGTCACCTAAATTATTTAGTGATATAGACAAAATCTTAGCAGTGTTATCAAATCAATTTTAGAAATATTGTTATTTTTAAATCAACTATTTCAATGGATTTTTTGTTTGGCAGTTGTGTTTTCAATGTTTTTTTTTTACTGTTTATTCTACACAAATATCAGCCAAGCTGAAAAGTTTTCCTTCATTGTTTTAAAAGCAATTATTAATTTCCATAAACACAAACTATAAATAGGAATTTGATTTCAACTATAGTCTATCTTAGAAAATATAATAGTCCAAGAAAGGAAGCCTGGAAATCATGGTAGCATTATTTTTGAAATTTTTTTCCAATTTATTAAATTACATATTTTAAAGTTTTGATTAAAATTTATGGGTATGTGTTAATTTTTTTTTCTTAACTGATCTATATTTCATTAAAAAAAATGACAAATGAATAAATTTTCCTTTATTTTTATCTTTTTTGAAACCATTAAATGTTTTTATTTTAAATAGTATTAACATATTTAGTCAGGTAGTTTTCTATTATAAAGTACATGTTTTACACCTAAAGCTAAAAAGATCTATATATATATATATATATATATATATATATATATATATATATATATATATATATATATATATATATATATATATATATATATATATATATATATATATATATATATATATATATATATATATCAGGGTTTATTCTAGGAAAAAAATTTGGGTGGCATTACCCCCTCATTCTGGCAAACTTATGCAGAAAATCTGGATTTTTTTCGTGGAAAAAAAAACAATATTTGCTGTAAAAAACATGAAGAAAGATCCTCAAATTTTAATTTTAACAGTGCCCAAATATGGTTGACGCTATCAAAAACAGTCTAGAACTGCCCTTGTATGTATATATTTCCGGAATTATGAATATTTTTTATCAACTTTTGGTATTTCCGGACATACAAAATGTTTTCCATACATACAAGTTTAGCTGTATATTTTTGTAATATATTTGTTTTTTTATGCTTTTTCACCCATCACTCATACTAAAATTGTAAAAAGTTTGGAAAAAATTTTTGAAACAACTCAGCTAAAAGCAAAATAAAGAAGAAAATGAGGGAAAATATATTTTGGATATTTTACCAAAACAATTTTCTGGATTTTTAAAATAGGATCTTTTAAATAGGATGATCTTTGATATATATATATATATATATATATATATATATATATACATATATATATATATATATATATATATATATATATATATATATATATATATATATATATATATATATATATATATATATATATACATACATATATATATATATATATATATATATATATATACATATATATATATATATATATATATATATATATATATATATATATATATATATATATATATATATATATATATATATATATATATATATATATATATATATATCCCTTAAAATAGTTGATTTTGAAATAGTCTAAGACTAATCATATATCTCAAAAACTTTAAAATGATTAAGTGCTGAAATTTTATAAATCTACATAATAAAAATGTCCCAAGCCAAATTGAATACCCCATAGTGTACTATGATGAAGTCATCTTAATCGTATTATATAATTGCATTTAGAGTGCTTTAATAGCTGGAGGTATAATAACTCATCTGTTCAATGTAAGAATCTGGTCTGAATTTCATCCACCTTTAGTTGATGCTTTGTTGTTACTACTTTTGGTTTTATCGTGTCGATGTCAAACAGGTCTGTAGATTTCTTTAAACATTTAAAAAACTAATTTTAGTTTGTTACACTATTTTTATTTTATTTAAATTTTTTTTTTTGTCAGCTCAAGCTGTTCTTTGTTCTCAAACAAGTTTGGTGGGTAAACATGCATTAGACGAGTCATCATTTATACACTATAACTTAAAAATGATGGAGAAGCTTCATAAAGATGTTCTTTTAACTAACACTAAACTAATCGGTCGTATTGGAATCTGTTTTGGCATTTTAACAAATACAATAAATCTTCCAGAGTGTAGAAGCATTCTATTTAAAGTTTGTTTATTAATAGTATATAATAATAATAAAACAATATTCTATATTTTTGTTAATAACAAGGTTTTGAGTTTATTTTTTTAATGATTGAATTCAATTTCATTTTACTTTTTAAACTAGTCTGGTTTGTTTGGTTTATTTATAAATGTATATACTGCAAGTTCTTCAGGAAACATTCATCAGCGAAATGTTGCAAACACTCTTCTTTCTGATTGGCTAAAGTTTATTACATCTTTGTCATTTTTTCAAGATGGTGCTAAAGTAATTTGGAAAGTTCCAGGTAGATCTAAATTTCTTTTTAACAAGGATGCAAGCTATTCAACAACAACAATAATGATATAACAAAACAATAATATAACAATAAATACAACAGTAAGAATAATAATATTTGTTGTGATAAAAATATAGTAATAATAACAAGTGATAAAGAGGCAACTAGTAAAAATATTTCAGTTTAAGAAAGATTAAAAATAATAAAAGTTATTTAAATTAGTATTATAACATTACAAAAAAAAAAGAATAATATTAGATAAATAGATGCTTATAGCTAGAGTTATAAATAATAAGTAATAAAAAAAGGTATGAGATTTATAAACAAAAGTTTTTTATAAAATAGTTTTAAAGAGCAGTTTTAAATTTTGAGAATGATTTGAGAGATTTTAGTTGAGAAGGGAGATTCATTTTTGTATGCTTTTATGTTGAAAAAGGAAGATTGTTCCATGTCTGTATGCTTTTATGTTGTATGGATTCAAGAAAATAAAGTAATAAATGAATGTATCAACATCAACACTCTTAGTCTTTTACTTTATGTCTTTTTGGAATATCTTTATATCATTAGATAATAGAATTAAATTTGATTGTTTTCTTTTATTATTTGCAACTTTTTAGTCACCTATGTTATCACAGTGATATTGGATTATGGTAGGAAATCACGAATAAAAGTTATATTATTAAATAAATGAGATAAGCAAAGCTGAAGCAGCATTAAGAGCTTGTTTAGTGCACATGTTTTTAGTGTGTAATGTCTTCTCTTTTTTAATATAGTATAATATAAATCTTTATTTTTTTTTAGGTATTCTTCCGTTGCTTATCACCATAATAAATGGATTGTGCATTAAACGGCGAGACTATGGGCTATTGATTCTACGAAATGTTGTGTATGTCCCTGCTATTAAACAGTCACTTAGTTCGAATTGTAAGGTCTTAAAATATTTTCTTTTGTATTTTTTGTTGTTACATATTTTTCTTACACACTACGTTCATTGTTACATTTTTTTCTTACGTATTACATTCATTGTTAATGAACTTTTTAAATTCTGATAAGTTGACATTTTTCGTGGCATTTTTAAGTTTTGATTGATCGTGACAATTTTATTGCTTCATGAAATTTTTAAGTTCAGAGAATTAGACAATCAGGTTCAATAAATCATTAAAAAAAACTGAAGTTCTATATTCATGTGTTCATGACCTTCACTTAGTTTTTTTTTAGTTGAATTATTATCAATGGTGTTAGAAAAGTTAAGATGTCAGTCGCTGAAAACCAAAGTTATTGTCAGTGGGTTTTTTTGGATTCTTGTTTGTGGCAACCGAAAGGTTATTTCTTTTTTATGTCTTTCTATTATTGCTCTGTCTTTTTCATTTTCTCTTTGAATACATTTTTTATTTTAACTAAGCCATGATTTTATTACAGGCAATGAACTTCTTAAAAAAGTCAAATTTTAAAAACTTTTTGTTGGCACTGAAAGATGACATTGACTCAGGTAATTTTTTTTTTTTGATAATTTACCAGTTTTTAATTATTTTATACATAGTAACTAAACCAGTTAATGACTTGTTTAAATTTAGGCATTAATAAAAAATTTAAAACTGTAAAACATGACTTTTAGCTAATATTATTGGCACAATAATATTAGCGATCGGATCTATTAGGGATCAGACTAATTAAAATGTTTTAGAGTTTACTTCAATACTTAAATGACTTATTACCTTAAATAACTAATATATTATTACAAATTTTTTTATGAAAATTTTATATAGTACATATTTACATATATATCCAATATTATATTATATCTATAATAATGCTTGGTTTAGTATTTATTTTAAAAAAAAATTCTTTTAAATATGACATTTATTATATACTGCTTTGAAAGCCTTTATATCTGAAATATGCTGATATATCTGGCTTTTATAAAATATATTTTTGTACGCATGTCACGCTGTTTGCATTTAAAGCAGTTGAAAAAGTATTTTGTAAATAAAAATATTTGTTTTATTATCCAAAATTTATTGTCGGTTGTGTTACCAATAAGCAAAAAAAAATAGTCTTAAAATTTATCTTTTTATTGCAAAATTAAGTAAAATGAAGAATTGTTTTTCAAATGTTAGTTGCCACATTATTTTGCAAGCATCATAGGTTAAATAAGTTGATTTTCTATGATTATCTATTTAGAGTGCTTTTTTTAAAATTTCTTTTATATGACTGAATACTTTTCCAGTCCAAGGTGATCTAGTTATTTGACATTTATTAGAATACTTGGGTCAATATGTATGTTATCAATTTAAATTTGACTTATCACCAGGAGTTAGCAATATGGTCTCTTGTTACAAATTAATGGCATGCCTAATTATATATGATCTATTATATTTTATATATGTTACATAAACCAACTTATGTGAACTCCGATTTACACTTCTTGAATGTTCAATACAAACGATTGAATAACAGACAGCGAACATTTACTTAATGTTCACTGCAGACGTTTTTTTTAATAGCTCTTGAACATCCACCTCAAACATAAAAAAAAAAAACAAGAAAGTTTACCGAACATTTTTTTTTTTTTAATTATTTAACTAAACGTATAAATGTATAGGATTAGATAGACTTTCTGTTTAAACCTACATTTGCTAATTTTTGTGTAATGTGTAGCTTTTTTGTTATAAATAACTTATATAATTATTATTAATTTAACAATTGTTAAATAAATACTTAAGTATTTATTTAAAATTTAAGTTTTTATGTACTTATCTACAAAATTCATTGCTAAATTACACAAGGCAAGTTTTTCTGTATGAAATTTAAACTAAAGCTTAGAGCTAAATCACACTATAATTATAATAATAATAATAATTATTATTAATATTGTTATTATTGTTATAATAATAATAATAATAACTAGCAGTAAGCAACCCGTAATACGCGTTGTTATTAAATAAAATTTAAAAAAAAAACCGCGTATAGAAAAGCCTAGAAACTACTTTAAAATAGAAAAGCCTAGAAAATGACATAACTTGACTAATAATAATAATATTAAATTAGCGTATTCATATTATCAGATAATAATAATAGTAATAATATTATCTAGCATAATAACTTTGTTTCATATAAATATTAGTAATTACAATTATGAACTTGATATGGTTTTTCAGCACGTTAACTTTAGCACCGATTAGCTCCTTGTTTTAATTTGACATCAAAAAACTGAAAAACTCGCCTTAAATCGCATGAAAGAAGTATTGAAAAATTCTTTGCAATAAGTTGAAACTTCATATTTAAGATGTTTACCATACATATTAAATTAAAATTGTATGAGGTTGTTTTTTGTTTTTGTTTTATTTATTTTATTTATTTGTTTGTTTTTTTATTCTCTGTTTATTTTCTTGTTCTTTTTTGAGTTTGTATTGTTTACAAGGTCGCTCTTCTCATTTTAACCAGGTTATATGAGAGTGAGCCTTTTAGTTGATATTATATTATTTAAAAACCAAGGTATGATATTTAGTTTTATATATATAAAATAATACTGACGGTGTTTTTGTCCATATGAACCGAGGTCAGTCCGACATCGGCTAGCCGCTGAAACTGTCACAATGCGTTAGCTGGCCGATGTTGAGCCGACGCGATTCTAATCAAATCATCGGCTGGCCGATCTCGACCCAATGCGATTCCGTATGGACAAAAACAATAGCGGTCCGATGATTAAAATAAGCTACAAATGCTCGGCTAGCCGATGCAAATCTTAATACACTAATTTAAATTGGAAAAAAGGGAAAATAGGATTAAGCAACTAAAGTATATGTAAAACACAAATATAAAATAAAATTATATATTTCTTTTAAATAAATTATTTTGAATCAGTTGAATCATCAAATAAATTGAATCGGGTGAAATTCCAACGTTTTTTATTAACCAATAATTCACTGTGTGCAGCATTTAAAAAAAAGTATAAATTAAATTTTCACATATCAATAATAGCAGTATAACATTAATCACAACATAGATAGGTTACTGACTAGGTATACATACTAATGTATACCTACTGATTGGAAGTGTATAGACTTCCAGACAGTAACCAAATTTCCACTTTTAATTTCAGAGAACGAAAAAACTAATTTATATTTATAATATGAAAAGTATTATATTTCTAATTCAATAAAAAGTTACTTGGGCATTTTGAATCAGGATGTACACCACCAAAATCATTTGCATCTTTAGCATTGTTTATTTTGTTGCATTCAACAGCCCCTATAAAAATTAACGCTGGAGCTTGGGCCATATTATATACATACATACATATATATATATATATATATATATATATATATATATATATATATATATATATATATATATATATATATAATATTTAATAATATTATTATTAATAATATTATTATTAATAATAATAATAATAATAATAATAATAATAAACTTATTCAGGCTTTTAGAATCAAGATATGCATTACCAAAACCTAGAGCCCCTGAAAATTATATATCAATAAAAATATGAATATAATATAAATAATATTAGCATAGCAACAGTATAACACCTCCATTATAAGAGTTTTTCTTCAGAGAGCACTGTGTTAAAAATAGATTCATGCAAAAAATCACCATAACAGGTTATATTTTATCAATAAATAAAGAAATAACATAATATATTTTGATATATGATACAAACTTATTTTGCTTAAAACTTAATTCATCAGTAAATAAAACTACTTCTACCTTAGCTTGTGTTGAAATGAACTTTTCTCATTAACATAATCAAACAATAAACTATTGACAAGGAGACATACCTGAAGGAGTTCATCTGTTAATAGTTAAAAGCACTACTTCATTGATTGGCAATGAATCCAAGAATAGTAACACTAGAGAAATGAAAAAATAAAATATTATAAAAATATTAAAAAAAAAAAAATACATGTATTAAGGTTGCATTCCAAATAAATCAAATCCTAACTAAGAAAAACTTAACTACTAATGGATCTGAAAAAACCTTTATAGATTGTTGAAAAAATTAATTCGATAATTCATAAGTTGGCTTTGATTTTTTTGACATCTTTTTTGACATTTTGACTTTTGACATTTCTTCAACATTTATTTCTTTATCTAAAAAGTTATACATATAATTGAACTTATAATAGACACAAGTTTCTTTTAATTTTTAAAAAGACAGATTTTTATAAATCTCTTACATAATTAAGTAAAAAAATTAAATCTCTTACATAATTAAATATAATTAAAAAGAATAGAAGAAAATAAAGAAAAGAAAGAAAAAGAAATGTTAGAAAATACACCACCCCTTGGTAATTTAGAACATGGCCACCATGTATTGAATTTTAAATATAGTTTAATCGATAAAGTTACCAATAACAAAGACTATCAAACAAAATATCTGTTCAACAAAGGTAAATGTAAAGAGTTAAATAAATACTTTAATAATTAAAACTGGGAAAAAGAGTTTAAAACCTTAAGTGTTGATGAAAGCTATTTAAGATGGTTACCAATTTATGAAAAAGGTTGCAAAATGTTTATCCCTCAAATTCAACAAAACAACCAAAACATTAGAAAATTAAAATCTTTATTGACTAAAGACCTAACATTAAAGTTAAAAGGAACTTATGGTACAAAAATCAAAGCTGCAGGTTTTAAAAATATAGATGATGTTATAAATTACAACAATCTTAATAAGATATTAAAAAAGCAATTATGGAGTATGAACATAATTTAGTAAAACAATCAAAATCAAATACTAAATGTATATACTCTTATATAAACAGTAAAACCAAAATAAAAAATTCTATTAGAGCCATAAGAGATATAAATGGTGATGTTACAACAAATTGTAAAACAATATGCAATACATTAAACACATTTTTCAGTTCAGTATTCATAATTGAAAATAGCAATAATATTTCATTATTTAAAAAAAAACCTTTCTAAGTTGTCCATTTCCAAAATTGGAGAAAATAATAATTGAAACAAAACTAAAAAAATTAAACATGATTAAAACAACATGTGTTGATAAAGTACATCCAAGAGTGTTGAAGGAATGCTCACTAAGTTTATGTAAACCAATAGAATTAATGTTTAATCAATCATTCTCAATCTCAGTGCACCTACATGGTTTTGTGAATAAAAAAAATTGATGTACAAATTTACTAGAAACATTAGATATTGTAAGTAAAGCATTTGACAATAGTATTCCAGTTGAAATTATATTTCTAGATTTTGCTAAAGCTTTCGATACTGTGCCACATGAAAGATAGTGCATAAAATTAGCTGGATATGGTATTATTGGTGATCTGTTGAACTGGTGCAGAGCTTTTCTAAAAAATTGGTTACAAGGAGTTGTACTTGGAGAAAATATTTCTGAATGGACAAATTTTATAAGTGGTGTTCCTCAGGGATCAGTATTTGGACCATTATTATTTATTTTATACATAAATGATGTGGTGTTAAATATAAAAAAATGAATGTAAACTTCATGCAGATGATACAAAATTAATATCTACACTAGATCATAACAGCAGTACAAAAAATTTACAAGAAGATCTAAATAAAATGGTACAATGGACAAAAAAACTAGTTGATAGTATTTTATAATGACCAGTGCAAAGTTATGCATATCGGAAAAAATAATCCTAAAAATGAGTACCTGATGCTTAACAATTCCAAAAATAAAACATATACCACTAAACTAAAATAAAAACTAGAAAAAGTTCTTGGCACATATGTATCAAATGAACTTAATTGGAATTACCACATTAACTATACAGACAATAAGGCATACTAAAAATTAGAAGTTCTTTTAAATATTTAGATAAAAGAAATATAAGATTACTATTTACTTCATTAGTCAGACCTCATCTTGAATAAGGATCACCATTATGGAACCCACATTTACAAAAACATATCAATATGATCGAACAAGTTCAACAAAAAGCAACTCGTATCCACAGTTTAAAAGGTTTACCATACGAAAATAGATAAAATAAATTAATCTTTTGACATTAAAAAATAGAAGGTCGAGAGCCAATATAGTGCAACTATACAGGTTTGTGAATAACATAGATGTAATTAATTGGTACAATCCTACTATAGTGTAAAAACTTATTTTGTTTAAAACTCATGTTACCAGTATATGAAAATATTTCTACTTTGTATTGAATTGAAATTTTTTATCTTTAACATTACTATCTGAACAATGTTCTCAATTTATGTTTAATCTTTAAAATTTAACGAGGTTATTAAAAAAAAATCAATCGTTAAAGAGTTATCATTGTTTACTTATTTGACAAGTTTTGAGTTAATGAACTAAATAATATCATTTAATGCTCACAGTTTAAATATTTTTTAACTGTTATCAAAACAAGTTACTGTTTACCTAGTATATTAATATTATTATCTAATATTTTTATATCTTAAACTTTATTGATTTATAAATTTTTATAACTATTCAAATAAAGTTCAAATAAATAAAAAATAAAGTTATTATTTATAAATACCAATTAATATTATTAAATAATATTAATTTAACAGGTAAACAAATTAACTTACCTATGCATTAAAAAATTTCGATAATTCAAAATTAGTTCTTTGCCTTTCAGATAGATAGGTTTGCTGCCATTTTTAAAATTTAATAGAAAAGTGATGTATTCGGTTTTTTATTATAATGCATCAAATCAAATAAAAAACAGAACCAAATTGACTGATTGTCGGCTGAACGTCGGCTGAATGTCTGTTTGCCTATTCATCAGCCAATAGACACAAAACCGACGTTCAACCGATATTGTTTTGCTAAAAACAGAATAGCCGATGTTCAACCGATGTAACAAGCTCGACTCAAGCTTGACCCACCGTCGGACTTAACACAGGGGTATGATATTTATTTTGTCTAGTAACTCCCAATTTAATAGCAGTGGCTTGCAACCTTTTTGGGAGTGAATCAGAATAAAATAAAAAAAGACTTAATATATATTGGTAATATATTGTTTCTCTTGTTCTTGTTGACTTAAATTTGTACTTAAATTTGGTCTTTATTAATATCATACTTAAAAGTAGTTAAAATGAAACAGAATAATATGCATCATCAGATATACAGACCAAAGTGTATGACAGCTAAACGTCCTCTTTCGCAATAAAGCAACAATCAAAGCGACAAGGATACTGAAAAAGATTGTTTTGAAAAAACAACTTCATGTTATAACAATGATGGTGTAGATGTCAAGCAACCGCTTTCAAGTTAAGGCAACTCGGGAAAAGAGTTTCCTGTTTAATCTGATTAAGATTGTGATGCTTCTAATGAAAACAGTTTGTCATTCAGAGATTGATAACTATGATACAATATGTTTATCTGGAATAAATAAAAGTTTATTACAAATACTACGTCATCTTGATGAGGACAAATTAGACAATTTATTTGACTTGGAAATTGATCTAAATATAGATAGGCTATTTATTTAGTGGAAACAGTTTCCTGTTTTAGCTATGTAAAGCAACGTTTTATGAATCATACCAGAGTATTGGTATGATAGTATTAATTATATATTCATTTATTGTAGTTTGTATAAGCTTTTGAGGTGTCTATTTTAGTGGTTCATCTTAAAAATTGTTTTTATATAGAATTGACAGTTTATAATAATTCAATTTTTTTGTAAATGGCACATTTAAGTTATTCATAAACAAAATAGCTTGTTTATTAAAACTACATAGTGCTTTTGTTAAAAGCAAAAGTACTATGTAGGTTTAATAAACAAGCTAATTTTCATTAAAATTTAAATTTTCGATTAGAAATTTTTATTAAAAAAAAGAATTTTATTTTGGATGAAATAATGTAAATTGTGCTATTTTAAAAAAGACAAATGTATATTTTTGTAGCTGTTTTTAATGTACTTTTGTTATGTTCTTGATGTTGTTTTGTAAGCAAATTTAACTTAAATTGATGTAAATTGTTGTTAGTGCCCTTTAAAGCGCTAAATAGAAATAATGAACAAACTTTTTCATTGTAAGAAGTGTAGTAATTGAATCGTGGAAGTGTAGTAATTGAATCGTGGGCTCTCAAAAACTTTATATGGTGTAACTCAATTGTAAAACATGGTGAAGTTGTATTTAAGGACAAATATATTTTTACTTAATTACTTATTTAACATTTGTTAAATAAATAAAGTTATGTAAGTTTAAAAAAGCATCACATTACACAAAATTTATCAAATATAGATTTAAACAGCAAGTCCACCTAAACCTAAACGTTTAAAAACTTAAAAAATGAAAAACATTGAGTAAACTTTCGTGTTCGTTATTGCGTGTTTGAGGTGAACGTTCAAGAGCTATCAAAATAACGTTTGCAGTGAACGTTAAGTAAACGTTCGCTGATTGTTATTTGAACGTTCGTATTGAACGTTTAAAAACTGTAAATAGGAGTTCACAAAAGTTGGTTCACGTAATGTTTGCATCAAACGTTACGCAAACCTAAATGAACGTTGTGACAACGTTTGTTAAACGTTAATTGTTAGCTGTGAATATACAAACATTTATGTATACAGAAGCGTACAAAAGTAAGTGATGTTATTGTTGTTATATTATAATACTTAAAATAAGTTTGTATTATTTTAAGTATTATATCAACACTGAACATCACTGAAACAGCAACTACACGAACAACGTATTAAGTAAATCTTTAGTGAAATCATAAAGCAATAGAGCCCGAGAAAAGCTAAAGTAAGATTATGTCCTAGCCTCAAGACAAATAAAATTTATTCTTTAGGTAGAACTTTAGCAGCTGATGGTGATCTCCGATGTCATGATGTTTTAAAATACTCGCTAGCAAAAACGTTGGAGTTGTTAGGATGATTTTTAAAGAACGTATTGGAAATGATTTGGTTTGTTTCAAAGATTAGTCTACTTAATTGATGAAACTCTTTAAAATAATTATTTACTTTTGGAATGTTTTTATTCCTAATTGATTTATTATTTTTATTTTTAAAAATGTGAAATTTATTAGATTGTAAAACTATTTATTGCCGATGATTTTTTATTTGTTTTTTTCTGAGTTGCTTTAGTTAATTAATAAAGGTAACGCTTAAATACTTTTCCAATTATACGTTTTTAAGCATGTCATTTATTTTAAGATTTTGTCATGGAAATTTCTTAAGCGTGTTCTAAAGATCCGATTTATTTAATGTAAATCAGACTTGACTGTAGATTATAAATTTACTGTACCTTTTTAATTAAAGCAATTGTTTAGTGTTTTTTCTGCTGAACTTACAAAAACATCAATTGGTAATTTATTTATTTTTTTCCCATGGTTTTTAAACATTACTCATGGTGCATTTTTATATAATGATATTATGGTATTACGCTTTTGAGTATCACGGTATTATTAAGTATATTTTTTTACATTTTCATATGTGCAATCATACATATTTAAATATAAACATTTGACTTGTTTTTTATAGAAATTATTTTTAATTTTTAGCGTGTTAAATATACTAAAACACTGTCAAGGTAGGAATGTGTTATATTGTTACCATGAAAGCGCTAACAAATCTTATAGTCTGAGGCAAATAAATGTGCATCAAATTGTTATTATAACATAATTGTTATAAAATGTGTAATTATTAAAACGCATCTATACTAAAACTTTTTTCTTTTTTAATTAAGCTAAAGTAATAAAACAACATGAATATTAAATTTTCAATACTCCTTACCTTTTGCCCTAATGCCCCCTAAAAATCAAGAAAATACTAAATATCAAACTCATTAAAAAATGTCACCCTTTCATTGCAACTTTAAATGTCACCCTTCATTACAACTTTAAATAAAAAATATAAAATTTCTTTATTTAAAGTGCAATAATGGTTTTTTAGTAAGCACCTATCAGATGAAACTTATTGTTAAGTTATTTATTGATTTTGAACAAATTCTCTATGACTTAATTGCTTGTTTAGCACAATTGTTTGACCTTTGAATTGAAATTGGTGTTAGCGCATAAGTTCATTAAAGTTGTTAATGCCTTTGAGTGATCTTTAGAAACTTCAGTTGAAAATCTCCTTGTTTATAAAAGTTTTAGTACAACAGTTAAGTTTCGGGTGATAAAGTTGTGAAATGTGAAATATACCAAAGCGTATATAGCTTGCCTATTCCATTACGTGTCGCTCTTATTGAGTAAAGTATTAAAGATTACTCTTGGAAAGCGTCGTGTGCTCTTACATTGTCTGTAACAAGTGATGGAGAAAACAATCGAGTGATGGAGAAATATCCATATCAACATTATTTTTGTTTCCTTTAATTATTTTCCAGTGTTTTCAAAAGACAATGCTTATAGTATAGTAATAAATCAATATATAAAATTAGGTGAGGTTGCTGCCTTATCAAAATAAACATCCATGTTAGTATTTTATCAAGTACATAATGTCGGCAAGTACATGTAAAATTACGCCAGCCTAGTTTTTCTTGACTAGTATAGATAACACGCTAACGTGAAAAAATTTTCACGACTTGATTTAAAAAAAAAATACCTTAAAGAGGTTTTGGCAATTTTAAGCTTTAAAACTTTGCACTACCTATGACAATTCAGCGCGAGCTCTCCACATCTTGAACTGGCTGGAAGAATTTTTTATGACTTGTGTTGATAGCCTAACTAGTGAGTGACCAGGACTGCGTAAACATTGATATATCATTAAGTATATTTTTATAGTTCATGTTATATTTTATATATATGCATTTATATTTATATGTAAACATCATGATCAACTTGATCATACCTTATGTAATGTTCTTATGTAATCTCTTTAAGTTTTTTTAGTTCTTTTTATTTTTAATTTTATTTAGGTACCCCAAGAAGTTCTTATGATCTTATCACAGAGCACCGCAAATGAGCATTTATTTGAAAGTTTACGCCTCCTTCCTAACCGATGTTGCAAAACTTACCCAGGGGTGAGGTTTGAACCACGGGTCCTTTGTTTCTGAGGCTAATGCGCTACCACTGCGCCACGGCTGCTCAAGTGCATGCCTAATTTCTACCTCTGCTATTTTATCCTGAAGCTGCTATCTCTCTGAATAATGATATATATATATTTTTTTAGGTGTCCCAAGAAGTCATTACGGTCTTATCACAGTGCACCGCGAAAGAACATTTAAAAGGAAGTTCACGCTTCCTTCCTAACTGATGCTGCTTGCCTAGAGATAAGGTTTAAACCACGGATCCTTTATTTCTGAGCAAAATGCGCTACTAATGCGCCGCGGCTGCTGAAATCTAAACCACTTCTCTGACAAATATTGTTCGACTCAATGTTTTTTCTCTCTAAGATTTTGGCTCTTTTTCTTGTCTTGTCAGAGTCATACCACATATCCATTTGATCATCATTTTCTCTTTCGGCTAATACTGCATCATATAAATACTAATGTTTATACAAAAAACGTAAAGATTGTGTATACCAGCATTTTAATAAATAGGATTTATATCTATTTATATCCATGCACGGCTCAGCCGGAGCAAAATGGTCAGAGTTCTGGCTCAGAACCGAGAGGTCCGACGTTCGACGGCGGCTCGAGCCCAATAAGCGATATTGGTAAGGAAAGAGACGTAAATTTTCTAGTTAAATGCAGTTCCGTGGTGCTATATGATAAGAAGATTATAAGAATTTCTTGGAGCACCTTAACAACCACAAAAAATATATATATATATATATATTATGCATGCATAAATGAGTCTCTTACCTAACATCCTGGATCCAAGCAGGAATGGAAGCTTTAAATTTTTTTTTTCACAAGAATATTTCATTTGAGAACAATTGTCTTTTTATTATTGCAAGAAATCAATATTTTTACAGGAACTTTTTTGGTTATGTCTGTTGCTAGGAACCATTATTCTCAGTTTACTAAATCTTGTATCTTATCTCAGATATTAGGTTCTGTGACTTTTGGAGTTATAAATATAGTAATAAATATAGCCTTACATTCTATCTCTAATTTATGGCTCTGATTTTATTACTTCTCCCCAGAATAAGATCAGTATTGTTTGCATAGAACTTTCCCTCTAATTTTACTCTTGAATCTACTACGCATACTATTCTAGCCATTTCAGTTAAACAGATTAACCTATTGTTAGACATCCAAATCACTCTTTCTTTCTATGCTAAAGTTAATTTGCAATTTTCTTTTTCTACGGTATTTGGTTTAGACAACAACTCCATTATAGTCACAAAAGTGTTCCACAGAACTTTCTTCAATCTACGCTAAACTATTATTTAGTGCAAAAAATAAGTGGTTCCAGTTTTAAAAAACTCTGGAAAAACGCTCTGACCTCTCCAGCGGTTCCACAATTAGTCTACTTTCCAGTATTAGTTTCTTCGTATAAACCTTTCTAGTATTAGTTTCTTTATACAAACCGCAGTATTAAATTCATTTTTAAAGGCTCTTGTTTGTTTCCAGTAACTTTAGGAGGAGTAGTAACACTAGTCCATTCTTCTTTATTTTCAATAACACAATGGAATACCACAAGGATCTATCTTTGCTTCTGTATTGTTTCTTTTTTACAATAACGATCTTCCTGACACTTTTACGATAAAATTACAATAATTGCTTACTACTCAATTTTATAATCTTGTCTTGACAAAAAGTCTACTCTTTTTAACCGCTTACAACTAGCAGCCAATCTTTAGTTCGGTATCTCTTCTGAAACAGTTCGGAGCATGCAGTGGCTTGTAACTCCAACAAAACTCAGATATTTACTGAAAACAACTATCGGAATATTGTTGACATTTCTATATTGACAAATAACAACCTCTTTCAAAAAGCAAATGCTAAAATAACATTTTAAATAAATCTGGACATGCTTAAGCCACCCTTCAATTATTGTTAGACCGCGTTTCTTTCTTTTGCTAAACAGTATCATAGTCACTGCTCAAACCATCTATCATCGATCAATTATAAATATCAAAATTATTTGGTTGATAGATCGCAAAATTTGCCTCGCAATTTTGAATCTTTTTACTGTACCTCTCCCTCCATGTTATAAAAATTATAAATTCTTATGAACAAAATTTGTAAAAAAAAAAGTTTTAAATGATTCAATGATTAGAGTCGGGTCTGTTATATAAGTTTTACTTTCTTGCAAACAGTTGGGAGATTGTTTATTAAAGTTTTTGAAATTTATTAGGTTGCTATCCATGTTAGTTATAGAGGTTTTTGTCTTGGATATGAAAAGAGCTTTAGTTCAGTTTTTTCCAAGTTAGGAGAAGTTAAGTTTGCATTTAGCCAATGAACTAAACCTTTTTGATCTAAGTTTATATTCTTACACAAGAAATGATGAGGCTTATTAATATGCAAGATATTAGTATCATCAGCAAACAAATAGACTAATGAGAAGTAGACAGAGTTATTTAATATAAATTAAAAATAATAAAGGGCCAAGAAAAGAACACTGGGGAACACCACAAACTATGTCTTTGTTATTTGATTTGTAACCATCAATGCTAACACTATAACTTTCGATTTGAAAAATAAGATTGAAACGATTACAAGCAATTCCACGGATTCCGTAATGTTCAGGTTTAGAAATTAAAATGGTATGATTAACAGAATCAAACGCTTTTTGTAATTTGATAAAACACCACCAACGAAATAACCATTATCCACTGCTTTTTTTATCTTTTTGGTTATACTTATTAAAGAATGGTAAGCAGAGTGTTTTGATCGAAATCCAAACTGTAAATCATTTAAACAGTTAAAAGAACTCAATAACGAGTATAATCTAGAATACAATAGTTTTTCAAGGAGTTTGCATATATTAAATAGAATTTAGTTAATTTAATGTTAATTAGATATTATAATTATTAATTATGGTATATTTATAACGTTTGAAGATTTTATTTTTAACTTTATTTTTTTCGTTTTAAACAACTTCGCTTCCAACAAGGCAGCAGACAACCACTAATTAGAGTTGGAAGTTACTGGAAGAGAAAAGATGAAGATTGTAGAGCAAGATAACGATTAACAGATGACTTAAAAGATTGCAAATTATATGAATCAAGAAAGCAAGATGAAGGAAGCGAATTCCAAAGAACTGATGTTCAAGGAAAAAAGCTGGAGGAATAAGAGTTTTGGAGCACTTAGGAACAATGGCAAAAAAAAAAGGATGAGACTTAATTGAACGACGAGTAACAC